GAGAGGGTGAGAGGCCCGTACGGGTGGAGGATGTTGAGACATGTGGGCAGTTCACCAGGTCGGCCTTAGAGTCGGGTTGTTTGAGAATGCAGCCCAAAGTGGGTGGTAAACTCCATCCAAGGCTAAATACAAGCACGAGTCCGATAGCGAACAAGTACCGTGAGGGAAAGTTGAAAAGTACTCTGAAGAGAGAGTAAACAGTACGTGAAACCGCATGCAGGTAAACGGGTGGCGTCAAGCTGCGAGCCCAGAGGATTCAGCTGGCTAGGTTGTTGTTTATGCGCCTGGCGCATCTACTGACCGGAGTAAGACATAGTAGTCCACTGGGAGACAGTGGGCCCAGCTCGCTTGCGAGTTGGGATGTGTGTGCCGGGTGGAAGCCGGAGCACGCTGCTATCTGTCCGTTGGGTCGACTAGCCAGTGCATTTTCTCTGTGGTGAACACCACGACCGGTGGAAACGCCAGTCTGCTGTAGTCGAGTCGTGTCCTGGTAGTTGCCGTATGCTTTGCGGCTGCGGGGATTGCTAATTGGATGCGATCACAGGCAACGTGCGTAGACGGCGTAAGGTTGTTGCTAAGGCGGTGACTTTGCGTGTTATCGTCTGCCTGTTGTAAACGAGTCACTTGGTGGTTGTTGTGACCGTCACCGGGTGGCTTGGTGGGCTATGGCGGTTGAAATGACTGTGCGGTGCACCGGATTTGTCCACCTCAAGTGCCGCTGTCGTTGCTGCGGCTGTTGCTGCTGCTGCTGTCCATCTTCGTGGTGGCGGTGGTGGTGGCGGCGGCGGTAGTGGCGGTTGTGGTGATTGCATTGGGCACGCATGTCACAAGTGTTGTGTCGGGTGCCATTGTCAAGGTCTGCCCGTAGTTTTGGGTGTGATTGCCGTGTTGCCTGCGCAAAGTAGGTCCGGCAGTGGTCTAATGCGGGTTGGGCTGTGATGGGCGCTCGCTTGTGCCGCCGTGTATGGATGCTGTGGGTGGAATAGTCCGTGGTGCTGTGGTAGATTAGCCACCTGACCCGTCTTGAAACACGGACCAAGGAGTTTAACATGTGTGCGAGTCAAAGGGTCCTACGAAACCCCAAGGCGCAGTGAAAGTGAGGCCTTGAGTTTGCTCGAGGTGAGGTGAGATCCTGCTGTTACTCGCATCAGTCTGATGATCAGTACCAGGCTACAAAGAGCAGTGGGCGCATCACCGGCCCGTCCCATGATGTAGTCACTGGGTATCTACTGCACGCGGAGTGTGGTGTCGTCTTGGTCGTCGTCGCACACGCGTGTTGTACCAGTGCGTCATCGGGGCGGAGCATGAGCACACATGTTGAGACCCGAAAGATGGTGAACTATGCTTGCGTAGGTTGAAGCCAGAGGAAACTCTGGTGGAGGACCGTAGCGATTCTGACGTGCAAATCGATCGTCAAACGTGAGTATAGGGGCGAAAGACTAATCGAACCATCTAGTAGCTGGTTCCCTCCGAAGTTTCCCTCAGGATAGCTGGCACTCATTCGCATGATCAGTTTTATCCGGTAAAGCGAATGATTAGAGGTGCTGGGTTCGAAACGAGCTCAACCTATTCTCAAACTTTAAATGGGTAAGATGCCCGGCTCGCCTAACGACTGTGGTACTGGTTGCTGCAGGGAGGAGTCGGGCGTTGAATGTGCGAGTGCCAAGTGGGCCATTTTTGGTAAGCAGAACTGGCGCTGTGGGATGAACCAAACGTCCGGTTAAGGTGCCTAACGCTGACGCTCATGAGATACCACAAAAGGTGTTGGTTAATATAGACAGCAGGACGGTGGCCATGGAAGTCGGCATCCGCTAAGGAGTGTGTAACAACTCACCTGCCGAATTGACCAGCCCTGAAAATGGATGGCGCTGGAGCGTCGGACCTATACCGGGCCGTCATCGCAAGCTGGGTCACTGGCGTGTGGTGGTGCGGCGGTGGCAGCAACAGACTGTGTGTGCGTTGCCGCAGTGAAGTCATGGCCCAGGCATGGAGCGCGATGACGAGTAGGAGGGTCGCCGTGGTGAGCGTGGAAGCCTTGGGCGTGAGCCTGGGTGGAGCCGCCACGGGTGCAGATCTTGGTGGTAGTAGCAAATATTCAAGTGAGAACCTTGAAGGCCGAGGTGGAGAAGGGTTCCATGGGAACAGTAGTTGGCCATGGGTCAGGCGGTCCTAAGTGATCCGGTGACTCGGTACAGAGTCGTGGGGTGCCTTTTGTGTGTGTGTG